AGACTCTAGTTCCTTGATCTAATCTGCACAAAACCGAACTCTAGTTCTAGGGATCCCCCCTTCGTCACCACCACCCCCCCATATGCTCTTTTCCGGTTTCGAGCATATTGAAACCAAACCTCTATAGTTTTTAAGAGGATAAATATGAGAAACCCTATTAGACATAGTGAGTATATCTAGAGTGAATAACCACTCTTTAAGCTATTGAGTAAGTTCATCCCTAAGAATACTTGTTAAGGCATGGTAGAAAGTGCAAAACCACCTTCTTAGATAAGAGGAGAATAATTAAAGGGAAGGCATAAGGCCAAAAAACAAGTAGTAAAGGGATAGAATTGAAATATAAAAATCAAAGGGCATAATCAAGAGTGGTTATGCAAGTTAGGAGTGGAGAATCAAGTGGGTGTTTAAACGTGTTACTATTAGTAACTGTGATGTTATGAAGAGTCTAAAGTATGGAATTGTCCATGTTAGACTATATAATAGTAAAAAAACTTGCGAAAGGAGAGGCTTTAGCAAGATAAGGGATAGAGTCCCTTCAAGGTTCCTAAAGACAATTTTAGGTAAATTAGTACTTGAAAAGCTAAGTGTAAATGGTTTATAAAATGCACAAAATTAGAGTAACACAGCAAAAGCATGGTCTTGAAGCTTGCCATAAGGCAATGCTATCAAGGTTGAGGAAGTAATCCCTAATTGTTCAAAGAAATGGTTTTGAATGAAAATCAATGGCTAAAGATTTTCATACTTATGCATGAAATCATGTTATGCTAGTCGGGTGACTTGCTAAGAAAGATTAGCAAATCAAGAGGGGAACAAAGACCCTAGTTAAAGGTGTTGACTTAAAAAAGGGGTGGTTTATAGGGCCAAGCATGGAGGAGTTCATATAAAATCCAAACTTATCAATTGAGAGGACTTTGCAGTTCAGAGGAACTAAGTTCCTCATATGTGATCCATAGCACATTTTAAGTATAAATTGGTGCACTAGCATGGGGAGTCATGCCAAGCATCCTAGGCAATGCCGCCTATATATGCATATGTGGAGGTTGGGTTTGAGTCCCAACTCGTTAGTGCTTGGGTTCGAGTCCCAACTAACTAGGGCGTGGTAATGGTTTGGACACTCATTTTTTGGTGATCATGGACTCTGAGTAAGGAGACTAGCTTGGGCACACTGCCAAGTGGGGGATGCCCTAGAGTCATAATGCATAGTTAAACTTTTTAATATAAAAGTTCGGCATATCTAACTTAAACACTTTGGTGCAAGTGGCACCAAAGACATGGTGAATGAAATAAAGACATCTAATCTTCAATTGTTGTGGACTTTTGGCTAGAAGGGCTAGCTTGGGTGCACTTCCAAGTGTGGGGGGATGCCCTCAAGGTCATGGTCAACAATTTAAAGGTCTAGAAGATATAGTATTTATTGGCAAACTTGTTAAGGTGTGAAGGTTAAATCACTAGATGATCTTATGGCTAAGCAAAAATGAAGTCCTTGTGAGGTTAAGGAATAAAATTCTTAGTTCAAAGTGTTGATTTAAACTATTGATAATGGTGTGGCTTGGTTAAGATGACTAAGTGGAAAGGACACTTAAGGGAAATGAACTACGTGTAAGTGACTAAAGTAGAATAGAAAATTTAGTTTGAAGTTAAGCGTCTTTGGGTTTAAATAATACTGGGTTGGGTAACCTCTCAAGAAGTCCAAACTCAAGAGTTTATATTGCAACAATATAATAGTATTATGAGTTCAAAAAAATAGTTTCCAAGGAAGGACCTATAAGTGGGTCACAAAGTTGCTTTTAAGTAAGCTTTTAATGTCAAAACATTGACAAATATTGGTTAGGTGCTAAGGATGAAAAGTGGTAATCCATGATAGGGTTATTTTATAAAATGGTTTATCATTCAATGAAGATATTGAACTTCGTCTATGGGTGGTGGAGTTGTGAGACACAAATCCCTAAGCCCCAAAGTGGAGTTGTAAGGGTGCCACATGGTAGTAGCTGAAGCAAAAGCTAAATGAGTGTAACACATTTGGACTAAAAGCTCTAACTTGAAAAGTTAAGAGCAAGAGTGGAATCCCAATGAAGGGCTCAAGGAACGAACTCAAAGTGAGAAATAAGTGAGTCTCTAGAAAAGGGACATAAAAGGATCAACACATGATATATAGAAGTGTCGAGATGGACCCAAGATGAAAGTCTAATATAGACCCGAGATGGAGTCTGAGATGGAATTGAGACTGAGACAAGGACAAAGACCGAGACCAAGATCTAGTCCAAGTCCGAATCCAAGTTTGAGTCCGAGTTCAAATACTAATATAGGCTATTTGGTGAAAGCCTAAAGCGATCGTCCCTAGGGAAGGGGGGGCTACAAGGGGTTCCAAAAGTATAGTAGGGAGAGTGTAAGGGTTAAACCTTAGTGGAGCCAGTTTGGCCAGAAAAGGCCAATGTGACCTAAGAAGGTTATGCTCATATGTTAGGTGATGATATATCCATTAAGAAGTCCAAAGTTAGAATGAATAAAAATAGACAAACAAAGTAATTTGGTGAAGTGTTCAAGAGCCAGCTCTAGCTCCTTTGGGAGATCAAATGGTTGATGCTCCCAATCCAAGCATGGGTGGCACTACTTACTTGAATACTTAATATAGCTTAATAAAACCTTGCTCTAGCCCCATGGCTAGAGCACCCAAATGTGAAAGGTGGGGAAAGTACCCATGAGGCTTATATAGGGCCATGGTGTTCCAAAATATTGTCCCAAAGTTTTAGACTATGGAAAGGAAGAAGAGTAATTTTTTAGTGTAATAATCAAGGATACAATTATATGGTGAGGAAGTTTTAGAGGACAATGGGACTTAGTGGTCGGGCCTATGGGCCTTGACTTAATGGTAGTGTTGGTGAATGGCCGTGAACAGAAAGGGACTTGATGCTTTATTTCGTTAAAGTGGGACTTATTCAGTAAAGTGGGACATTAATTAGCATGTGTCCACATGCCATTTCCTAGTACTTAATTAATATTTATTAATATTTCTATCAGTTTTTTAATTTATTTTTTTATATTTCACAATATTATAACACAAAATCATATGAAAAATTTTTAATTTATAAATTATAAAGTTAAAACTTTAATTTTTTATTGTTGTTATAAAAATGGCATGTGGCCACACACCATAAGTGGGATAATGAAAAGTCCCACTTTAACGAAATAAAGCATCTTGGTAGGGATTGAAAAAGGGATATTGGGGAAGTTTATCCCCCATGTCTACAGGCATCCTAGAGATGCTAAAAAGTATATCTAGGATAATCACTCATGGATGGATAATCTAGTCTTTGAGAGACAGGATTGTGATGTAGGTACTGTTGAATCACCAGTGTGACAAAGGTGAATGAGTATGGCTTTAGTGTAACGGGTTGCTATGTTAGTGGTACCTTTGGGTGACATATGGAGCACTTGGACTAAGTGCAAAGGTTGAGTGGCATAAATGACATTCTCAGGGATAGCAAGCCCCAAGTCTGGAATAGAACTTATAGAGGTTATGAGTGAAATTCCTCCAAATGGTTGGAAGTGTGGTTAAGTGACTAAAGTAGAATAGAAAATTTAGTCGCTTATACACAACTCTTTGCAAAAATTTCTTTCTTTAATAAACACTTCCCACACTTGGATTGGGAGTATCAACTATTCAATCTCCTAGGGAAACTAGAGTTGATTTTTAAACACTTTACTAAGTTACCTCATTTATTCATCTATATTCACTCTAGCATTAGACTCCTTAATAATTATATCATCACCCACCATATGGGTGTAACCTTCTTAAGTCACATTAGCCTTTTGTGACCAAATTGGTTTTATTAAAGTCCAACCCCTACACTCTCCCTACTATGCTTTTGGAATGCCTTACATCCCCTCCCCCCAACGACTTGTATTAGTATTCGGACTTAGTCTCAAACTCAAACTTGGACCTGAACTTGGATTTAGATTTGGTCTTGTATTCGGTCTTCTATCTCATATCCATCTTGGACTTTTTATTAAACTCAATCTTGGCACTTTCACATGTCATGAAATTTGCTATATGTCAATCCTTTTTATGTCCCTTTTTAGAAACTCATTTATTGATTGTTTGTGCTCATTCCTCAAGCACTTTGTTGGGAGTTCCACTCGTCTTGACTTTTTGAGTTGAAACTTTTGGTAGGAGTCTAAAAGAGTCTCTTGAACATTGTTGAGGAGAGCAAGTGCCATTAACTAAGAGTCTAAAAGAGTTTAAAGACCACTACTATATGGCATACTTTTAGTTCCATTTTGGAGCTTAGGGATTTATGTCTCACATATCTATATAAAGAGTATAAAGTGAATGATTTGGTGTTAATTTGTTTTTCTAATTTTATGGTATATGATTTGTTTAAAAATCTCCTTATCTAGTGGAAGGGATCATATCAAATGTTGTAGTAAGTTGTGTCATAAGTTTATGATATTCAGCATAACATTCAATAAGTTAATCCTCTAGAATTTATGTATATACAATAGTTGAAACATTTCATATAGAGGAATTAAAAATAAATTGCACCACTTATAGGTCCATCAATGCCTCCTAATGTTCCTTTGGATCTTAACCTATTGATCAGAGAATTATAATTGTTTTCCATCCTTCTAAGAGGAGGGGATAAATAACTATCATGCTATATATTATTATTATATAGTGGAAATTGGATTCAATTTGGACTAATCACTCTTATAGATAAACTTAAGTTTTGGGCTAATACAAATATTTAGATTTATATATTCTAGGCTTTCACACTTGCAATATGCACTGATTCTTTGAATATTCAAATGACCTTTTTTAAAGAATGAGAATATTTTTGAACCTTGAAAACTATATAAAAATTGATAATATTGGCACTTTTAAAATTTGGGGACTAACTCTTCCCAACCATGTGCTTAATATTCAGCGAAACTTTTTAAATTAAATTTACATTTTAAATCTTCTAGTTTGCTTAAACCCCATACTCATTGCCAAAGTTTTCTTTGACAAAACAATGTTGTTACAAATGTGAGAGAAGATGGGTTAAAGTCCACTGAGCTGACATTAGTGAGTTTGCTAGGAGATTCTCCACAAAGGCATGGAACGCCACCTCCAGCCTAGTTCTCTCTAACCATGCTCCTAGACATGGTCAACAGGGCCCAGCCGACCACCAAGTCCGTCCGGGTAGACCCACCAATCAAGATTTAATTTCATGTTTGCACTGTCAAAGCACTAGTGCTGCTGCTCCATGAATTTAATCCACCGGGGCTGCTAGCCACTGATGCCGGCTTGCTCTCCTCGACAATACTCAAGAGCGGACCTGAATCCAGGCAAGAAATCTTGCTGCCGTGCAGCCTCCGGTTCTTCATGATCAGCACGGCAGCATTGCTCGCACCATCTAATTCCTCCTTGTCCCTCCTGCTTCCACTCTTTTTGCAGTGATGGTTTTGATGGATCACGGCCTCCGAGGACGATATCAACACCTTGGCGCTGCTGTGATCCGCGGGGACGAGATTTACGTGTAGCATGTCCTGCTCGTCGACGGTGGACTTGCGCACGGATGATCTCGCGGAGCTCAGCCGGGACAGAGAAGAGCGAGCCGAGCTCAAGCTGGTGGTGACGCTGTCGAGCTCGAACAGGTCGGAGCTGGAGTCACTGTCGTTGTGATCATCGTCCTCCTTGGCTTGATCTTGCGCGAGCTTAAGTTGATCGAGGGAGGAGCTCTTTTGCTGCTTGGGTGACGCTGGGAACGGCGACCCAAATCCGGTTCCACCACCCTGGCATTTCTTCGCCACTTGTTCTTGGGTGACGGAAGACCTTTGAGGCGATGAGGCCATGGCGTTCTTCTGATCCGTGTCGAGGCTCTTCCTGGCTCGATCCATCCATTCCTTGACTTGAGTCTCCGCGATCCTGGCCTTTTTCTTGTGTGTCTTCCGCGCGGACCGATGCTCGCCACCTCTAGTCGGCTTGCTGGAAGAGCTCGCCATGGACGGTTGGTGTGAAGAGGAGGGCGATGCCAGGAGCTTGAGCATCTTGTAGATGTGGTTATCAGCCTTGTTCTTCATCGACTTGGCCGGGCTCTTCACCTTGTGATCGATCTCTACGGCGCTGGAACCCGCGCACAGCGAAGCCCATCCGACTCCACCACCACCACCCGACGAAGAGCACGACGAGGAGCGCGAGGATAAACAGCGCCTGTCTTCACTCTTGGCCACTGGAAGAGAGATCAAATCCTCTTCCACAGACTTGACTGATGATCCCTCCACCCGATCGTTTGGTCTCGAAGGATGGGAAGAATCCTCCTTGAAATACTCCTCTGCCTCGAAAACTCCTAGCTCGTGAGTAGTACTTACTATCGGCGGTGGCGGCGGCGGCGGCGGCGGTGGTGGCGGAGCTGCTACTACCGTCGCCGCTGTGCTGGATCGATCCTCCCAGTCCGAGTAAAACTCCTCGCCCGCGGATGACCACGTTCCCCTGCTGCCACCGCCCACGCGCGATCCCTCCTTGATCGCCGCCGCCACCGCAGCCAGCGTAATGGGCGGCTCGATCGCCGCGGCGGGCCTTGAATTGGGCTGGAATGCTGGATACCCATCATCCTCCTCCTCCACTCCGCCGCCTCCCTCGTCTCTCTTGCGATCCTCCTCCTCCATTGCATCGTCTCGCCGCTGCTCCTCAAAGAGCGCATTTTGCTGGATCACCAGCTCGCTGGGAGGGATGTCCAGCGCGAGCTTCTGGTATCCTCTTGGATTCTGGTGGCTGGAGGGGAGGGACTTGCAGCAGTACCTCTTGTGGAAGAGCAGGCCCAGCATGCCCATCTCGCTGATATCGGTGGAGATCCGTGGCGAGTCGAGCAAGAGCCTTGCCGCGGGATTTAGCGACGATGCCGACGATCCATCCGCACCGCCGCGGCCGCCAGCTCCTCCATTGATCTTGGAGGAGGAGAGGTGCTCATGCTGGCTGGAATCGCTCGCTTCCACTGCTCGTCTAGAGATGCAAAGTCCCATATTTTTGGATCGAGTGGAGATTTTTCTTCTTCCTCGCTATCGCACTAAGAGATCTCTTTTTCCTTTCCACTTTTGGTTGAAGAGGAGATGAGCGGTGGTCTTGGTCGTCGGGGTCTGTGCCGGTTGTTGATTAGAAACTCTCAGCAGACTGATGATCTAGCGCAGCAGCAGTAGTGACTGATTTGGATTGATCCCGACACATTTCTTCCCTCTTGCGACTTTCCTTTCCTTTCTTTTTCTTGCTCGCTGCTGCTTAACGACGAGCCATGGCTGCTCGCAAGGAGGAGAGAGATGGGACGAACAGGACGAGCAGCGCGGGAATGATTGGTGAGGACCACATTTGCTCTCTACGCTGGATTCGAAAGGAATCACAAAGATTGGAATTTCTGGGAGGAAAAAAGCAAGAGATGAGAATAAGAGCTTTGATGAGTGAGCTCTTACTAAGAGAGAAGGAGAATTTTGAAAAGAATCCCCTTGATCCGCCAAAACGAACGAGCTTTCGCTTTCCTTGGTCTTGAAAGCGGCCCGAGAAATCCCTTCAAATCCTCCGAGCGAGAGGTGAGAGAGATCCGCCGGGGCAAATGGCGGCGCTTCGCGTTTTCTTTCGTGATCGATCGATTATGCCGGCTTCAATTCAATTGTGGGAAGTCGCAAGGAGTGGACTTTTTGCTCGATCCCCGTCACCCATTCCAAGAAGTGGAGTGTGTGAGAGAGAGGAGTAACTTTAAAGCCCGCTCTAGCAATCCGTCCTGCGAGATAATGCCGCCATCATGGCATCAGCAAATGCCCTCCTGCCCAGCTCAAGGACAACAATAAGCCATGAGCCCTAAAAGAAACACAAAACTAAACAGGGTATTTGCACGGAAGCGCGTGCTCCCCTGCAAAAGGCCGTCCACAGGCCGGCATTTTTCGCAGCCCTGTTGCCCCAAATCATTATTTGCCTCTGTTCCCTTCCGCAGCCGCGCCAGGAACGGGAACAGGAGCGCACAGCAGCAGGGGAAAGAAGCAGTTTAAAAATGCCCAGCACGGGCATTTGCTGGAGTCTAAGTTCCTGCTGGTGTTTCTTGTTTCCGATCGCAATCTCTCGCCCCTCGTTGGCACCACCGTTTGCTGCTGCTGCTGCCCATGGAAGAACGAGTTTGTTATTTGTTGTGTGTTGGGAGGTCAGGGCTCCCGTCCCTCCGACCGAATGTTTTTTACTTGTTTTCTCTCTTCTTCTTACTGACTGATTGGATCTCTCGCTTTCATTCTTCGGTGCCGCGTCGCCCTCACTCGAATCAATCAATCGACGAATCCATCAGAAGAAAACACCAGCTCGAGATCGCTACCTAACGAAGAGCATATGAAATCGCCTCTGTGATATGATATACATATAGATATGTATACCAAAAGCCAGTACGGTCAAAGCAGCGATCCATGATCGATCTACCACCAGGACACGATCCCATCATTGATTGAAGAATAGATTTCCGGCTTACGCACTTGGCAGCAAACGGAAATACTTTAGAGCGGGCATGGGCAGCGGACGAGCGCACTTTGGAAGCCCTCTCAGGAATCGCCGGGTAAAACTTTTGTCAGTGTTCTCTCTTTGTCGTCCGGGAAAAGCAAAAGGAAACAAGAGCAGCACTGTTGGAACACGTGCATGAGGTGGTACGGAAAGGGATGGAGACTGATTTTCTTTTGCCAGCGGGGTTGTATGGAGTGAGTGTGTGTGCAGCACCCACCATACAAGCACAAGATCAAGATGCCGCACACAGCGCCAAATTACCAAAACATGGCTCCAAGAAGAAGGGGCATGGATGAAATGCAAGTTGCTACTTTGTTTTCTTCCATTGCCTTCTCCGTTGCTCGTGGCCTCTCTGTATTCACGCACATGGAGACCTTCTTGTCCAAACTTGCTATAAATACTGGTATTCTGCCGGTTTTGTCACCTTTACCACCTTTGCCACCTTTCCCCCTCCAAAACAATCCAACCATTGTGAAAAATTAGGGCATACGTGGACGACATTTTTAGGGCTTACTTGTGAAAAGGCCTAAAAGTGCGTAACGTTTCGAGAAGCAAACATGGGGGGTCACATGAGCGCAAAGGATGTCCGGAATCTCGTCTTCAACCTCGGCATGGGTTTCTTCCTGGGAATTGTTGGTAAAAGTCCTCTCTTTGCGATGTTTTTTTTTTTCTTTTGATCTTTGACGCGTTTTTGAGCGAGTGATCCTTGCTTGTCCCAGGCGGGGCGTATGGCAAGCGCGAGTTCATGAGGAAGGAACTCGTCCCGATTCACAAGTTCTTCAAAGATCTCGAGGCTGAAAAGATCACGACTGTGGTGACTTGAGTCCAAAATCCCTGTAATAAACAAACAAACGCGACGAGCTTTTTTTTTCCTCGTCACTCCTGGGCCTGATGCTCCGCCGGCGATAGTCTCTGTAGTGATTTGTAGTAGAGCGTTTCGAGCTCTACCAGCGACGCGCCCAGCTCCTCGCCGACGCTCAAGAGGAGCCTCTCGGTGTCGGAGTTTTGCTCCTCGAATCTGGCGGCCCTCTCGGCGATGCACTCGTTGAGCGAGATGAAATCCGAGAAGACGGCGTTTTGCTTGAGCTCCGAGACAAGCTTGAGAAGCGAGTCGGCTGCTTGGACCTGGAAGAATAAAAAGGAAAACCATCAGAGCATGAGAGGAGAAGAAATTTGGCTGAAGGAAAAATGATGGAATATTTTTCGTTTTGGCGTACCACTCTAGAAGCATGGATGTCCATCTGGAAGTTCTCCTGTGCATTCCTCACGGGATCGTTCACCTAGAAAATCCCCTACATTTGGTACCAGGAAAGAAAACAAGAGAAAAGTCGCCCGCTTACCCTGGCGGCCTTGAGCATATGCGCGAAATTGTCGATGAGATTCGCGATGTCCGCATCGGCTCTTTGCAGTAGCGCTCGCTGCCGGTGGATCGTCGCAGCTGCCGCGGCGGCCGTGGTAGCAGCAGCGCCTCCTCCGCCTTGCCCGGGCTTGTTCATCCAAAAACTCCAAGAACCCTAAAGCATAGTTCTTTAGCTTAAAACCTGTGCAAAACATTTACAGCATCAAAATTTCTTGTTTTTTTCTCTTTCGATCGATCGTCACAAAAACCTGTTGAGCACGCTGCTGCGCTTGGGAGCCGCCTCCTCCATGGCGCCCTCGATGTTGTCTCTCTTTTGGACCGCGAGAAGAGCGCTCCTCGTCAGCGAATTCATGCTCTTTCGGAGCTGTGCATTGTCGATGAGAATGTCCACCAGGAACTTGTTCACCGCGTCCTCGCTTCCACTTCCATCCGGAGGATTCGAGTTCGCAGTGGCTCCATTCGCGGTGGGATAGTGCTCATCTTCATCTTCATCACGTTCTTCCGCCATCAAGCGAGCCTGGGACACAAAAAACTTGAGAGGTGAAAGGAATAAACAAAAGCTTACTTCCGCGAGCAGGAGATTGATGCGATTATCTGACGTCGTGAGAAGCTCCATTGCGTCGCTCGAGATGGAGTTCTTGGCGCCATCTTCCTTGGCAAGGAAGTCAACACTGCATTCTTGGAGCCGTTGTCGAAGAGCTGAAACCTCGTGCATGAAACTGGCTCTCGAGTTTCTCGCTAGCTCTTCCTTTTCTCTCTCCTTCCGTAAGACTCCCTGGATGATAAAAACACGAAAGGTTAAAAACAAGACAAAGCTCGGATTAAGCACCTCCAACTCGGCTTTGATTCGCAGTGCTGTGTCGAGTTCCTCTTTGAGCTCGGGTTGGTTTTTTCTCAAAGTTTTAATCTCCTTTGCTAGAATTCTCTTCTCTGCACGAGCTTGAGCCTCTATAGCATCCCGCTCTTTAGCCAACGACTCCAGCTTCTCCTGGAGTTGAACAACCTGCTGCTTTGAATTGTCGAGTTCCGCGCGTATAGATTGCAAACTCTCGTTTTCCATGCCTCTGTCGTTCTGAAACGAGAATCATTAGACTACTAAGAACTGAAGTAAACTGCGACGAAACGCACCCGTTCCGTTTGCAAAGACTCTTCGGCGTTCATTAACGCGGTACGACAGTCCTCCAGTTCCCACTGCAGTTCAGTAACTCGCTCACGCTCCACAGAGACAGCTTGTTGAAGCACATCTTGACTTTTGCGACGCGTATTATCAAGCTCTGCTTCGAGGTCTCGCACCTACAATGATTTCTTGTCAGCCGAAATACTCTATGCTAAACAAAGTGTACCTTGATGGTCAAAAACCCCTTGACAGCAACTTCCTGGTTCAATCTCGTGATCAAGTCTTCCATATCTGCTTTGACAATCTCAAATCTGCGTTGAAGTGCTGCCATGACTCTCTTTAAGTTTGCTCGCTGATCGGCCGGCAAGAAAACCGAGGCGCCTTTTAAAATGTCGGACTCAAAACTGGACACCCCTTCCATCCTTCGCTCTATACCGGCAGCAAGCACCAACGAAGTGTCTGAGGGGCCTTCAACGGACATTGGAATGGATTGCTCGCTCGCTATATCACTGTCGCTATCCTTCCTTCTATGAAAATTATCTAGTGTTGCTTCACTTACTGATCTGAATATCTTGGACGTTTCGCTATCCTGTTTGCCATCTTCCAACCCTTGTTCTACGTCTTTACCTTTTTTCTTACGTTGAGCTGTGGCTATGTCATCTGCTGTCTCGACCTCTACTCCCAGCTCACTTAAACTTGTTGGTGTTCTCACGCCAGACGTGCTGCAGGCGGCATCGCTAGCATAATCCGGGAGAGAAGCTACCGACGAAGAGCCATTATACAGTGAACTCGGAGCAATGAGGCCAGAGTCTTCGAGTGCCAAACCAGCGATGACTGAAGCACTGTCCTCTTGAGCAGAGGCAGCGCTCGCAGCTGCAAAGGCATCTATCAGCACCGTCCGAAGAAAAAAAAAAGTAAAATACCTGAACGGGCAGCGGCCTCGAGCTCCAGAAACGCAGCAACAGGAGCACTCCGAGAGATTTCAATATCGCTCAAAAGGCTGCTCATCCAATCGTCCAATGCATGCCTTCTCTGAGAGAAAAATCGTCTGAAAACGTCATATTTAACGAACAGCATCAAGGCAGCACGCAGTCAGACCTCTTGCAGCAGCGCCTGGCTTGAATTGATACGAAGCAGTGTGTTCTTGGGAGGAGCTGGAGGGATTTTCTTCTTCCGGAGCGCACTTTTCAGCTGGAAGCACCAATTCAGATGACTAGAAAAATAAAAAGTCCTTAAAACAATCCATGCCACCTACTTACTGCTGCATATAACTTCAAGAAATCGCTGAAGCGTCGCAGGATACCCCGCACAGAAGTCACACCTTGCGGTGACTGGATCCCCACGAGCACCCTGTAGAACTGCAAGAGAATTCCATTCAGCTCCACAAAATCCCTTCCAACGAAAAGATACCAATTACCACAGTGGGATTGATAAAAGTACCCTCTCCTGTCTTAGCTTCCGGAAGGACCACCCACGACGGGATCGTCGCACAGTAGCTCCATCCAGTCCTTGGATCGTGAGGCCAGATCGTGCTGGCGCCGTCCTGCAAAGAGGAGGGAAATCTCAGCTCGCAATGCACGAAATTCGCCCGAGCGCATGCAATATTTCGAGCGACATCGACCTAGGGGAGGAGATTTCGATGAAGAACATACCCATTTCGAAGGAGCGGGACTGGCGTCCATTCCCAGCGGCAGCGGCGACGTCCCATCGTGCCTGTGATGGGGCGGGCTCGTCCTCGAGGAACTCATCGGATCAATCCCACGATTTACACGGCGAGCTTCGATCTCCCTGGATTTGCACGAAGATCCATCATTCCCTGTGAGCTACCCTAGCGCGATCCGCCGATTCCAAATCGCGGATCCCATCGGCAACTCCAGAACCAGTAGGTCTAGTTTTCTGAGACTGAATTAGAAATATTCTCATCCAGAAAGCACCTTCTTTGAATCGACGGCTAATGCAAATTCCATCTCGCAATGCGCCAGCGGATGCTTTACAGCCAAACGCTTCGCGCCACGTCAACTTACAGTTAGGGCTCTGTTCCCGGGAAGAGGAAAATGGCCTTCTCCGCTAAAGAGATTGCGAGGAGAAAAATTGAGAACTTCAAGCGATGGACAAAGCCCGAGGTGCGATTTCCCCCTCCACTTCTTCGCCCCCGACGCATCAATTCTCTCGCATTGTCACGAGTTTCTAATTCTCGACGATCGATCAATCGAACAGGTATACCCTTTGATCGCGTTTATGGCCGCAGCTGTGGGATTGGCGTCGTTCGTGAGCATGAGGAACTTGACGCTTAATCCGGAGGTCAGGTAGCGATGCTTGAATCATTTTTTCCTCAGGACCAGGTCTCGTCACTGTTCCAACAGAGTTAACAAGGATGATAGAATGGCGGGGCTTGTCCAGAATTTCAAGGAAGGGAAAGCGTACCATGATCACGCGCTGAGACGGTACCTCTACACCCGAAAACACTTTCAGATTACCCCGGGCATCAACGAGTATTTCTACAAGCGCGATACGTGATGAAGCCATCGCGCGTGTATAGAGCTGCTGCTTTTTTTCTTCTCTTTTCTTCCCCGATGGATCAATTTCTGTGATCCTCGCTGAAACTGGACGTGCTGATTCTTTGTTCTTACAGTAGTGAGCAACAAAGTTCGCCTGCAAACACGTACAGTGAGTGCACAAGCGCAAAGAAAAATGAATGGCAGATCAAACCTTCTCGAGGATACTTTCTGAGGCTCTCTCCTCTATTTTGCTCTTTGTAAAGAGAAAGTAATTGCGTCTTACGTTCTCGTGGCGGATAGTGGAAGCGATGACTGTGGAAGCGAATCAACGAGAAGATGCGGAGGGGTAAAATACATCTGAAGCGACATGCAGCATATGATAATTCCCAGGAATAGCTGTAGTCGCCCAAAGTCAGTATCAGCAAAAAAAAAGGGAAAGCTCAAAGAGGGAAGATAGCTTACTTGCAGCGTAGGCTGCAGGTTGAAGAGGTAAATAGATAACACCATCGTGAGCAACATGGCCATAGATGTGGAATAAACCTGCACAAGCAAGCGAGTTTTCCAAGAGTCGCAAACAAAACTTCCAGACCTTTACGATATTGTCCGCGTACTTCATGATCCAAGAAACCAACAATCCCGTGCACCCGAGGTTGATAACGACGAGCCATGTAACAAAACTATAACCATTGAACAGCCGAAACCACCAAGGACCGTTCGAGAAGCTGGCACTCACGTCGTCCACGCTGAGTCTCAAGGCGTTGAACAAGACGCCAAACCTGTGCTTGAATCAGCCCAACACTTCTTCTTGCGTGAAGTCTACATGAAACTACTTACCCGTAAAGCTGGATGTTCTGCCAGTAAAGTGAATCGTTGTTCTTCTTCAGCAGATATTCAGTGTAAACGCCGGCTAGTGCTGAGAGACACGCCGATAAAACTCCCAGCAAGTAGCCTTGCATTGGCGCAGCAAACAAACTCTCGCACTTGCTCTCTCCACACCCCTTTATCTGTTCAAAGACAACACGTTTTAGTCTACCTTTCAAATGCAAATTCCACCTGACTCGTTGTGGTTCCCACTGTCAACAGAACTATGGCCATCCATTGTAAGTTCGATAGCTTTTTCTTCAGCATGATACTATGAGATCACCACGTCTTAACCATAAAAGCTCAAATATCAAAAGAAATTCCGGAGCTTACCGGAAAAGAATGCCAGTCGTGACGATCTTGAGATTTCCCATGATCTGGTAAGTCGACGTATCCACGTAAGTCAGTGTCGCAAACTGGACATTGTTGTGAATGAGATAGATGACGGAAGGAATTGGATACAGCCGCATTGTCTTCCAATCGCCCGTGATCTGTGTGCTACTGGACGATCTCACTTCGTTCCAGAGGAAAACTCCCGAAAATGCAAGCTAAAATACCACGAAAGCCTCAGCTTTATTGGAATTCACAATGATCAAGATCTCACACCTTGAGCAGCTCGGACAAGAATGGGACGGTAGCGTAATCGTAATCGTAGCCTCCATTGGATTGCGAAAGAGCCGTAAGAATCCCCTGCAAAGAAAGAATTTCGATCGGAGCACTGGATCTAGCAATGTACGCACCTGCGAGCTCGTGAGCAGCGTCAGAATGGCCGCAATGACCACCGTCAGCGTCTTCTTGGACGCTCTGATCTTGTCATCGTCCTCGCCCGACCCCATAGCTTGCCAGAAAACCCTTACAATCCCTCAAAGCCCTAAAAAGAGAGCACGGCGGCTGACAAGAGGAAGGAGGCGATCGCAATGGGGTACGCTATCGCGATTTCCTAGCCGGGTCAGGCCTAGATCTCTAGCAATGGCGGCGACAGTATGGCGCCGCGCTCTCCCCCGAATTCTCTCACTCTCCTCGACCATCACAGCGACACCGGCGGCGATCCAATCGCATCCCTGGGCGGCCGATTGTCCAAGAAAGCTCCTGCCACTGGCGGCGCGCTGGGATTCTCGCCGCTTTGTCCAGCTCGAGCCGAAGATCGACGTCGACAACAAAGTGGATCCATTTGGTCTAGTGGCAGAGGAGATGGCCCAGTTAGGGCGGCGGCTGCGCGACATGGTTGCCGCCGAGGTCCCCAAGCTCGCCTCCGCCGCCGAGTACTTCTTCAAGCTGGGCGTGGAGGGCAAGCGCTTCCGGCCAATGGTCCTCCTCCTCATGTCCTCGTCTCTCACCATGGTCCTCCCCAGCGCCGCCGCCGCCACCAGCGATGAGAAGAACTGGCGCCACCACAAGCTCGCGGAGATCACCGAGATGATCCACGTCGCCAGCCTCCTCCACGACGACGTCCTCGACCACGCCGACACGCGCCGGGGGATCGCCTCGCTCAACTTCATCATGGGCAACAAGCTCGCGGTCCTGGCCGGAGACTTCCTCCTCGCCCGCGCCGCCTTTAGCCTCTCCACGCTCCAGAACGACGAGGTGGTCGGCCTCATGTCCAAAGTTCTCGAGCATCTAGTCGCCGGAGAGGTGATGCAGTGGACAGTGGACGCCGAGAAGAGCTCGAGCATGGACTACTACCTCCAGAAGACCTTCTACAAGACGGCCTCGCTCATCGCCAATAGCTGCAAGTGCATCGCCATCCTGGCCGGGCACCCCAAGGAGGTGGCGGCGCTGGCCTTTGACTATGGCCGCCACCTCGGCCTCGCCTATCAGCTCGTCGACGATCTCCTCGACTTCACGGGCACCAAGGCGTCGCTGGGGAAGCCCGCGCTCTCCGACTTGCGGGAGGGGATTGCCACCGCGCCGGTGCTCTACGCGCTCGAGGAGCACCCGGCGCTACAGGAGCTCATCGACCGGAAGTTCAAGGATCCCGGGGACGTTGACAGTGCGCTCAAGATGGTGCTGGCGAGCAGTGGGATCCGCAAGACCAAGGAGCTGGCCAGGGAGCACGCGTCCAAGGCCGCCGATGCGGTCGCGGGCTTTCCTCCCACGACCTCGGAGAAGGCGTCTTTGTGTCGTAGAGCGCTGACGGAGCTCACCGAGCAAGTGATCACACGGTCCAAGTGAGTGGATCGTAAGAACTTATTTTTCTCCTTTTTCTTTGCAGTCGAGGAAGGATGTGCTGCGAAGCTGTGAATTTATCCGCTCGTTTTAACTGACGATCAATAAGACGATATTACTTCTACGAGAGAAAAAAAGAACGATCTTACACGACAATCTGGCCTGGAAGTAGCAAGGACGTTGTTGACTGATGAAACTCGTAGTCGACAACCTCTTTTACTGATTCGAGTTCTGAGAGCAAATCTTCCACAGGGCATGGTGCTTCCGCTTTCGAGAGATGAATCTCGCCTTTCGGGGGATGGAGTCTCGGAGAAGCCTGCATAAGAAAATGTAGCGAGCAGGGGAATCAATATGTGACTTTGAGACCTTCATGAGCTTGATGCGCTCTCGCCTTTCGCTTCTTTGCCTGCTTTCTCGAGCTCGCTGCGGATAACTCTAGTCACAACAAGCTCGAGTAACACAAAGAAAAGATCTCTTGCCTGAGCGGACGAGTCTTTGTCTACTCGATCTCGCAGCTCCTTGTACTGCAGCTGGATGGTCTCTAGGAGCCATTGAAGACCCTCTTGGAAATCTCCATCCAGCGCAGCGTCTCCTTCCTGAGCTTCTAACGAAAGAAGAAACTAATGAAATAGTACGTAGAAAATTTACCTGTAGATTACACTTGCATTCAGCAAGATTGTGAGCGGCTTCCAGAGGGCGCAGAGAAAATTTTATATCGTCGAATCGCATTGCCGATCCCGGTCCTTGCTTGTTCGCCACCACGAGAACAGGCTTTCCAACCAGGTAAGTGTTGCTCACAGCGTTCTGGAGCTCCTCTTTGGCCTCGGAGAATCGAGCCTTGTCGTTGGAATCGAGAACGAAGATCGCGCCATAGGCCTGAGAGAATCCGCGGAAAAATGTCCTGCACTGTGTAAGCAAAAGCAAAATATACTTACCTCTGCGAAGTAGTGAGGCCAAATGCCGCGGAATCCCTTGCGTCCTCCCAAATCAAACACATAGACGGCGAAGTCCTGGATCTTCCATTTCTTGCACGAGAATCCACACGTCGGGAGCACCGATGTGAATTTCTCCTTCCTGTTCCAAGATTTCCGGGAGAAATCTCGAAAGAACAAGAAAATGCGGGATACCGAAGCTTGGCTAGCAGCGTGGATTTCCCCGAGGAATCCAGCCCCAGCAACACGATGACGATCTTCTTGCGATCCTTGCAGCACAAGGACGTGGCGAAGAATGGCCAGACGCAGCACCACTCCACAAGTCCGGCGCTTTCCTGTGGCATAGCATCATAGCGATTAGGGCTTGGATCGTCCAGGTCATGGGAAGAACACTAGAAATTCCGGATTCCGCCCCAGAATGTCCAGTGACGGGCTAAAATATAATACTATGTCCGTCGAACCCGTCTCAATCACTCCAAAACAACGCATCAGCCAGTACAGTAGGAAATAGCTTGTAGCAAAGAACAGGTGGATTCCATCCCTCGGCTCCACGATCGATCGATCGATCCCACCCATGAAGATTGGCGCTTTCTTGGCGTGATCTAGGGCAGCGGGATGGAGCACCCGCATTGCGGGAGGGCTTTCTTTCTTTCGGCTCCGAGAATTCCGAGGGAGGATCGTAGGGCGCCATGAGGATTTAAGGGTGGATCTTGATATTTCCAGCGAGCTCTCGCGGCGATGGTGTCGGATTTGGTCAGCGTCCGGCCTTCGCCACAATACAATGCAAAGGTATGCCTTCTTGTTCTTCGATTTGGCTGGGGGTGGAATTTCATGGCCGGATTGCCAGGACTCGGTGAAATTCGTCTCGGACTCGTCGGAGAATTTCTCTTCCGCTAGCGATGTTCGTCCCACGGCCGCGGCCACGGCAGCGGCGGTGGCGCAATTCACCGAGCACGAAGTACAAAGAGGGGACTGGCTCTATGATATCGGGCGGCGTCACAATGTGGATTTGAGGTACCTTTACCTTTTTGCTCGTGTGTTCTCTTTGGCCAACCTTTCTCTTGTGATTTTTCTAGATCATTGCTCAAGGCCAATCCTAACTTAATCAATCCAGATAGTATCCACGTAGGGAGCCGGATCAGGATTCCACAAGTTTCTTCCTCGTCCAACGTTTGCATTCCTCCGGTGAGTGTCCGGCAGCCTATAACACAAACTAGAAACGCTCGAGAAGCAACGGCAAGCACAGTGAAGGATTCTTCGTTTTCTAGCCAAGCCGAGAATCTGACGCTCAGTAAGATCTTCATGCTGCTTGGGAGCTTCTTGTGGAGAGATCGAGATCGAGTTCACAAGGTCGTGGACGGAGATTCTTTGGAGTGGCTTGCCGAGAAATATGGGACCACTGTGAGTGCTCTTCGCAGGCTAAACAATCTACAGACTGATACCATATACACGGGAAGGTTTGCTACCATTTTGTCATTCCTTACATGGATCGCTTTAAACTTTTGTTTCTTTTCTTTTCTACAGTGTGTTGAAGATTGATAGAGCACACTCTCGTCGTCTGCACGGGACATACCTTGGAAAGAAAGCAAGCTTCAAAGAAAGGAATGGTTTGCTGGATGGCATTCTCGAGACACCCTTACCTATTGCCGGGAGGAAAGAACCGATGCCCGGGCCATTGAAGTACGTCAAGGTTCGGTATGGCGATACTTTGGCAGACATAGCTTGTGCCAACGGGTATGTTTCTTCTATTCTGTTTAGTTTTCGAAAAAGTGGTGTCGTTTCCCCAGTTTAACCATCAGGGAGTTGCAAAAGCTTAACCATTTGCGGGATGATGCTATTTTCGAAGGCGACCACCTTGTCATCGCTTCAGGTAAAACCTTGCACTCATTGATGTATTTAATGTTTGTTCTTCACAGACCCCACAAGTATAGACATCTCGGACATACGATCCGGCAGGCGGAGGACCAGTCGTCCATTGTTCTCCAGGCACACGTCTTCGCTACAAGGAAGCAGTAAATATCCAGTCGGAGGTCCGGCTCTCACGTTCAAAGCAAGAGTTGCAAGTGGAGGAATCAAGCTTGAAGGTAGCTGCCGGTTTACTTCAAGAAATCATTTTCTTACAGCCGTATATCTGGCAGGGCGATGGAAAACAAAGAAGAAAGGCTTCCAACAACCAAGAGACAAGCGATTTCAATTCAGTTCTCCTCTTACTGACGCGTAAGGAACTTTCGACGTTGTGTGAAACATTTACACTACTTTCCAATGCAGGTTCATAAGTAGCCCGTTTGGTTGGCGATGGGGTGCCTTCCACGAGGTAAATGATGACACCATATCATATCTAAACTTTAACTTGAGTTCACGTTTCAGGGTGTAGATCTTGCGGCAGATAAAGGCAGTCCAATCCTTGCATCAAACAGAGGACTCGTAACTTTTGCCGGATGGAGTGGCGGGTATTCTTTTCTCTTTCTGTCCTGGTCGCTTCATTTCTACCTAGTCGTGCAGATATGGATACCTGGTTGCAATTCAACATGAAGGAGGGTTTGTAACTAGATACGCGCATTGCTGTGCCATTCATGCTCGCGTTGGTCAGGTACTTGCGGAGTGAGTTTTGCTAAGCTTTTTTTAACGGGTTTTATTTTTGTAACAGCAAGTTTCGAGAGGCCAGCGAGTCGCAGCGGTAGGAGCCACGGGGCACGCAACTGGGCCTCATCTTCATTTTGAAGGTTTGTTCCTAAGAGATAGATCAATCATTCCTTTTCTTAATCACTTCATTACAGTTAGAAGGAATGGTGAGGCACTGGACCCCTTGAAATGGGTGAACTTGTAGGATCGAATAAGCCAGGTTCTGCTCAAAAGTTGATTACTTATACATCTCATTTATTTTTCAGCAATAAGAAATATTCTCACAGCTTAAGTTACTTGCTGTACTTTGGTCGGTGTTCGTCTTACACTTAGGTTCGATGACTACTGTTGCATTCATTCATTCACTGCCTCGATGGCATCATCATCGCTCACACTTGTCCAGCAGAAGAAAATCGAACAAGCATACAGCAAGAGAAAATCTGATATGCTTTTCAGCAGCAGCAGCAGCAACGGATGTCAATTCGCCCTCTTCCTCTCTCGAAGCCAAAGCACTGAAGGCTGACCTCCTGGTAAGTTGTCCCTTTATCTAGAAATTTTTCTCTCTTTTTCTTTCTTTGCTAACGAATTTCCTCTTCCCAGAGTGTGGTTGCCGGGTTGGATAGAGGCATTTTCGCAAGTGACGATGATGTTGAAGCTGCCGACCTTGCTTCCAAGAGACTCGAGGACGCTGGGGATAAAATTGACCTGCCTCGTGATCTTGATAAGTTGCAAGGGAAATGGAGGCTTGTCTATAGCAGTGCCTTTGCTTCCGGAAATCTGGGAGGCAGCAGGCCTGGGCCTCGGGCGGCGAGATTTCCTCTGACACTTGGTCCGGTACTCTTTTAGTTTCTCTTTGAATCTCTTTGGTGAAAGTTTTTTGCTTTTTTTTTTTTTTTGCTCACAAGGTGTACCAAAGAATCGATGTATTAAGCCGCGAGTTCGACAACATTGTTGAGTTTCGGGCCCCAACACCTTGGCCCTTGCCACCACTGGAGACGAGAGCCACACTAGCTCATACCTTTGAGCTTCCAGGTTTGCTTAGCTTAATCCATCTGATGGTTCGATGCAACATAGTTATATATGTAGGCGGAGCAAGCGTGAAGATCATCTTTGACAAAACATCCATCAAAGGCTTGGGAGTTCTAAGCGAGCTGCCACCGCTCGACCTTCCGAGGTTACCAGACTTCTTGCGTTCATCTTCCAGTGGACTGTTTACCGTGAGTTACCTGGATGATGACTTCCGAATCACTCGAGGAGACAGAGGCGAACTCCGAGTCTTCGTCAAGCTCTAGCGGTAAGTTCTACGTGATAACGAACAAAACGCTGACCGGGATGTTGTTTTCGGCCACATTTACCTCGAAGAACAGATGTTTGCAACGAGAGAATAAGAAGATGGCGAAGAAGGATTGAATGCCAGGACTTCTTTCGCATTGGCAGGACCATTGTAAGTTCTCCAAGCTCCAAGCAAGCAAGTCCAGTCGAGAGAGCACGGCCGGAAAGGCATATGGTCGACGAGATCTCTGGCGTCCTCCAGATGCCCAGCTCGAGCCAGGAGATCGATCATGCAGCAAAAGTTTTGCTTGGTGGGAGTGAGGCCATAGTCGAATCCCATGGAGATGAAGTGGTGTCGGCCGCGGGCCACGCTCCCTCCATGGCTGCAAGCGATGAGCAGCGACACGAAGCAAACTTCGCAAGGTTCCTGGTCCATCTTCATCAGATCGAAGAGCTCGAAAGTTTGGCGATGGTGGTCGGAGCTGGCGCTGTAAGAGCTGAGGATGGTGCTCCACGAGAACTCGCTCTTGGATGGCAGGCGATCGAAGAGCTTGCGGGTGATCTCCAGCCGGCCGGATCGAGCGTAGGACGAGAGCATGGCGTCCCAGCACGCGCTACTCTTCTCCGGGATTTGCTCGAAGAGAAGCTCAGCTTGGGCGATCGATGGGACGGCGGCTAGCATTAGTGTCCAGGAGATGGCATCGGCGAATTCCATCCTGGAAAAGAGATCGCTGGCGTCGCGTGGTCTTCCGGCCAGGACAAACGCGCCCAAGAGGGTGTTCCACGAGATAATGTCCTTCTCTGGCATCTGGTTGAAGGTTTCTTGCGTTTGCTCAAGATGCCCACAACGGGCATTTGCTGCAAGAATTGAGTTGCAAAGCACAAGGTTCAGAAACGGTGCCGTGTCAAACAAACCCTGAGCTTCTGAAAGACAGAGGTTGCTTCCGTAAGCGTTGATCATCACCGCCCACGCAAACAAGCTCCTTGCGGGCATGCTTTTGAAGATGTGCTTGGCTCTCTCCAGATGCCCTACCTGGGCATTTGCTGTCAGAGCAATGGTCCAGGAAATTACATCGGTCTCGGGCATGGAGCTTAGAACAAGATCAACGTCTCTCAGCTTGAGGTTTTGTGCGTAGCAAGTTAGGAGCGCTGTGTATGAGAGTAAACATCGGGCGGGCATTGCATGAAACAAGCTCTTGACTTGATCGATTCGCCCGAGCTTGGCGTATTGCGCGAGCATCGCATTGAAGCAAACCAGATCTCTCTCCGGCATTTGAGTAAAGATCCTCTCCGCTTCATCTGCAAAAGAAGGGTTTGCAAACGCCACCAAAAGGACTGTCCAGGAGACGAGTGTTCTCAGCGGCATCTGCTCAAACAAAATCTTTGCGAGCCCCAAATGCCCATTATGGGCATATGCTGTGAGAATGGAGTTCCAGGAGACCAGATCTCTCCGCGGCATTGAATCGAAGACTTCTTTTGCTCTATCGACGAGCCCAGATCGCCCAAACGCATTGAGAATAACGTTCCAAGAGACTAGAGTGTGCGCCGGCATGGAATCAAACGCCGCCTTGGCCTCCTCGCAGTGCCGGTTGCTGGCATAGTCAATGAGCATCGCGTCCCACGCCAAGTAATCCTTGTTCTTGGAACCCAAGGCCGTGCTCGCGGCGCCCAAGTCATCGAATCGCGCAATGCGGGTGATCTTGTCTGCTGGGCGATCGGCGATGGATGCCAGGCATCTCATGAAGCATTTGGATTAGAAACTTCGCGGGATCATCACGATCACTTTCTAGGTCTAACCCCAGCTTTCGTTTTCTTGTCAAATGCTAGGTGTAGCGACGATGGAACTCCGAGTGTGAGGACATGGCTCTGCCAGTTTGTGCCATCTTCGCGGCGCCACGTCCGGCGCCGGTGTATAGTACTTTAGAGCGTGGCGCCAGCGACGGTATTTTAAAGAATGGCCTCGCTGGGCGCTTCCTCCATAGTGTTCACGGTGAGAAGCTCCATGGACGCCGAGAGTGGATCCAAGGCCTCGAATGGCAACAGCAAGAGCGCTAGCGTGCGAGTTGGAAGCTCGGGCAAGCCTCTCCACACCACCCTCGCCGGAGCTCCAGTCTCGGACGATAACAACAGGTACTGTGGTTCTTCCCAAAGCTTGGATTCGATCAAAAGCTTTGGTTTTTTTTGTCTTGATTCGATCGAAAGCTTTGTTTTTCTTTGTTTTCCTCTAGTGTGACTGTAGGACAGAGTGGACACCTTTTGTTTGAAGACGTCCATTTGTTTGAGAAGCAAGCACGGCTCAACCGTGAGAGAGTTCCCGAGCGCTTCGTCCATGCCAAAGGTGCCGGAGCTCATGGATACTTCGAAGTTACAAAGTAAGTCTGCTACTCGGCTCGCTTGTTTCTTTTACGTTTCGGACTCCGTGCCATTTGTAGGGACGTATCAAACTTGTGCAAGGCAAAGTTCTTGAGCGAGCCCGGAAAGAGGACCCCCGTTTTCGCCAGGTTCTCGAGCGTGGCGGCCGAGCGTGGATTCACCGACCTTGCGCGAGATGTCCGAGGCTTCGCGGTTAAGTTTTACACCGAGGAGGGGAACTGGGACATGACCGGGAATAACACGCCAGTTTTCTGGGTCCGGGACCCTCTCAAGTTTCCCGACTTTGTCCACTCGCAAAAGAGGAACCCCAAGACCAACGCCAAAGATCCAAACGCGTTCTGGGATTTTCTGAGCTTGGTTCCCGAGTCCATGCATCAGGTAACTTATAACTCTTTGCGTAACTTTGATCAACTTTGTCGATTCTCCTTGTGAAGCTTTTGATCACATTCTCGCCTCGAGGAGTGCCGGCTACATATAGAAACATGAACGGATACGGCTCGCATACTTTCAAGTGGGTCAACAAGGAGAGGAAAGCTCACTGGGTGAAGTTCCATCTCGTCACGGAGCACGGCATCAAAAACTTGACCCACGAAGAGGCCGTGAGTCTCTCGGGGTCTAAACCAGACTATGCGACCGAGGATCTCTTGACTAGCATAGAGGAAGGGAACTTCCCGGCCTGGAAGTTCTACGTCCAAGTTATGCCGCTGGAGGACGCTCCAAAGTATAAGTGGGATCCTTTCGACTTGACAAAGGTATGTGACACAATTTTTCTTCTTCTTCTGTTTTTCAAGGACGTGGATTTCAGGTGTGGTTGCACAAGGATTATCCCCTCATGGAAGTTGGCAGGCTCGTTCTCGATAGAAATGTCGAAAACTATCACGCGGAAGTGGAGCAAGCGGCATTCTCTCCAGGAAGCTTTGTTCCTGGGATTGAGGCTTCCCCGGACCGTATACTCCAGTCCCGGCTCTTTGCTTACGACGACGCTGCTCGATACAGAATTGGGACAAACTTCCACGACGTAAGAATTTATAATTTTCCAAAGATTCTAAATGTGATCTGATTGTGTCTACCACCATCCAGGTTCCGATCAACAAACCCATTGTGAAAGTCCAGACATATTCTCGAGATGGAGCGATGGTTGTCTCGGACAACGGCGGCAGCAAACCCAATTACTATCCGAACTCGTACGACAACTTGCCTCAAAACGACCCGACTCAGCCGGATGTTCACCCGTACGAGTAAGCAAAGCTTTTGTTTCCTATCACCGAGAAGGAGCTTCTAACATTCCTTTTCCTTCTTCTACGCAGGCATGAAGGTGGAACAGTTGGCCGGTTCCCTCCAAGAAAATGGGAAGAGCAGGACGACTACGAGCAGCCCCGTATGCTCTGGAAACTCATGTCCGAGGAAGACAAGGAGCAAACCGTGTCAAACATTGCAAACCACATCCGCGGAGCCGCCGAGTTCATCCAAGAGCGTCAAATGGGTCTCTTCCGGAAATGCGACGGGGATCTCGCGTCCAGGATCGAGAAGAAGCTCGCGGAGAAGAAGAAGTCGCCGGAGCCGTATACCATGATCGCCTAGAAGAAAGCTTGAGTTTTTTTACGTGGAATCTCTCGATCATCAGTCCATATCTTCCATCTTCCAGCTAAAAGAAAAAAAAAAAAAAGAGATATCCCATCCACTTCTAGCACTAGAGCGTACGGAAGGCAATGCCTCAATGATATTGGCACAGCACAAGCAAAAAAGTATCAAAGCAATAAAAAAGTTGGCAAATCTCTTGACAAAGAGAGAACAGTTCCAGAAGTGGAGACAACTTGGGATCTGGATTCTTCAAGGAGCCAAATGGCGGCACTCCTTGCCGCAGCTGCCACTAAAAAGAATGGAAAAATTCTCCTCGTGAAAACCATTGGATGGACCCAGCAACTTTTGCAACACCAACACCAACAACAAAGCGTGGAAATTCGAGGCCTTTGCCTTTCTTTGTTCTCCTGTGTCCACTTCCGTACAATTGTCAAGGTGCCAGAAAAAGGGTACCACATACAAGCTACTTGACTCGGAATCCACCACCTTTTCTTTTCCTTGGGAATTTTCCCTGTTGCCGTATTTTTGCGAAGTTGACTGTAATGCAGCAGCCCTTTCCACAATGGGTGCGGCAGCGAATCAAGGTATCATGGGAAATTGGAATTCTTCTGATTTCCTCCTCTTTTTCTTGCTGCCAACACTTTTTATTCCGAATCATGGCCGCTCTCTCCAAATCATCACAGATCCCATTAGAAGGGGAATCTTCTGCCTTTTGCAATCGCGCGAGCGAGCGAGGGGGGGAGCACACAAGGATAAAAAAAAGGTTTCTTCTTCTTCCTCCTCAATCTCTCCATCGTCCCATTGTTTGTTTGTTCGCGAAGATCAGCAAAGCTTGTCCCTTACAAACTTGGCACAATCGAGAAAAAATCAATCCCCAGCTAAAGAACAGAGAACTTTAGAGACGAATCCGCGCATACGTAAACATGTGGCCGTCTGCCCCGGGAGAGATTCGCTCCGGAGAGAAAAGAATGTGAAAGAAATCGGGGAAAGGGACGGCTCCCCTGCGAAGAACCCTAAAAACAGGGGACGCATCTTCGGTCGTGGTGGAGGGAGCAGGCATCAGATTTGGAGGAGCTACTGTGGTCCTGGGCGATCGCGCTGGCGCGCGCGCGTCACATCGGATTCAGGCACTTCGATATCTTGACCCAGATCGACGGGAGGAATTTGGGGCTCCCCTTCCGCGCTAGAGGACGAAGACGGATCCGACGGCTCCAGCCATCCCAATCCAACGGTCCAAATTTGAATAGTTCTTGAGCTAGCAAGCTCCCAGATCTTTGCTGAAAAGGTGCTCGAATTGAATTCTCCATCCTCTCTATAAACATCTTTCTTTTATGTACTGTGTAGATTCTCGACCCAAAACCCCCTTCTCTCCAAAACTCTTCCAAGAAATTCTGCGTTTCTTGATGATACTCTGCTCGCTATACCACTCGATCGATCGAAAATAGATCTCTCGATCGTGGCTCTCAAGCGCAACCCCACGTCGAGGCTGTGAGGAGCAATCGCTGCTGCCAGCCGAGAGAGATCGATCCCACCGGCCACCCCTCGCACGGCGATTCCACCACCCGGTATCCATCGCAGGGGCAGAGCTGGAGGAGCAGTTTGGCCTGGCTCACCGAGTGCGAGCTCATGGGCGCCTGCGCGAAGCCACACTCGCCCATCTTGCCCGCCCAAAACCCCATCTTCTCGTGCCGCTCGATCCGCTCCGCCCCCTCGCACGACACGATGTTCTTGATCTGCGCCGCGAACATCACCTGCTCGATCCGGACCCTCTCCTCGTCGCGCTGCGGCAGCGACGCGTCCAGCGAATCGAACACCGCGGCGTAGTAGTGGAGCGCCTCCACGAAGCGCGCGATGAAGTCCGGGGCGTTGTGCGCCGCCTCCTGCTCCACGACGGTCACCGCCGCGGGCCGGATCCGCCGCAGCCCCGCCAGGAATCGCTCCAGCTTGCGCGATTCCCGCGGCGCATTGAGCAACCGGTGGAGCTGGAACACGGCATTCACGGCCACCGCCTCCTCCTCCTCGTCCTCCTCCTCCTCCATATCCTCGACCTCGCCATGGCCGGTCCGGGGTTCGATCCTCGCCCCCAAATCCAGCTCCTCGAGGCTGCCCACCACCAGGGGCTGGAATCGAAAGGGCACGCCAAACATGGCGGCGAAGCTCGAGAGGCGATTGCCCGTGTCGCGCAGCGATTCCGCGCTGGATCCGATGCCCGTGAGCGTGAGCAGCGATGGCGGGCCGCCGGAGCGGCTGGCCAGCGCCTGGATGAAGCTCGGCCACTGGAATCCCTGGAGGATGTCGAGGTCGATGACATGAACCCTAGCGCGCCCGGCCACCGCCTCCACGATCGCCTGGTTGGCCGTGAAGTGGGCGAGCTTGAAGAAGGGCGACACCTTGTAGAGCGCCGTGAAGGCGGCCAGGTGATCGTCCGCGGCGGCGGGGTTGGCGGCGGGGCGGTGGAGGATGAGGCTGTGGAGGAGGTCGAGCTTGGCGGGCGGGAGGAGCTGCACGGCGGTGGCGGAGTGGCGGTGGTGGAGGATCCGCGTCGCCAGGCCCTCGGCGAAGTGGGCGGTGAGGCGCTGCATTGAGTCGCCATAGACGGAGGCGCCGTGCTTGAGCTGGGCGAGGAGGGCGGTGGCGGAGTCTAGGTCTTGGCGATGCACGGCCTGGGCGCACTCGAGGAGCACGTTGAGGAGCTCCAATCCCAGGGCCTGGTGGTGTCCCGGAGGATCCAATCGCGGGAGATCGATGTGATTTGGTCGCGGGAGCTCCACCTGGGCGGGCTTGTGGAAGAGGCTGTGGTTGTGGGCGATGATGGAGCTCTCGCGATCGGGCGAGCTGCTAGCGTTGGTGGCGGTGGTGGTGGTGGTGGTGGTGTCCGAGTGGGCGGAATTGGGCGGGCGCAAGCTCAGGAGATCGAGATCATCGTCGCCATCGACGAGCCTCTTCTTCTTCTTCCTTTCGTGGTGGCGAACCAAGGATGACGACTTGGGGAAGAGGATCTTGAGATCGGGCGCGCTGGTGGCGCTGGAAATCTCGATCTCCCGCTGGAAGACATGGATCTTGCTGCTGGCAAGATCATCCAATGGCTTCTCTGTTCCTTCCCCTTCCCTGGAATTGGCGTGGTAGTACTTGAGAAAGGGATTCGGGCTCTCCCTCCACTGCGAAGGTATGTAAGCAGCGCTGCGACGATCGAATTCGTCACCCCCTCCTCCTCCCGAGCCGGGATGGAAGAAGCCACTGTAAGATCCACCGAGCTGGGAGGGATGGGCCTGGTGAGCCGCCTGGATCATGTCCACCATCGCCGATCGCTTGGCCTGCTGGTTGCTGCGATCTTCCTCCTCGGTGTCGTCGATGATGATCGAGGAGGACGACCCCCAATTCTGCCCGACAATCACTCCCTCCTTGGAGTAGCCATCGAGCATAATTTTCTTGCCTGGGATCTTCTTCTTCTTCTTCTTCTGGAACTATCTAAAAAGTGAATCCATCCACGCCCCCTCCAGCGAGAAATATAAAACAAAGAGAGCGCGCCGCGCAGCGATGAGGGAAAGAAGAAAGAGTGGCTTTGCGGTTGACAATTTCTCCAAATCTCTCCCTCCAATTATATAAGGAGTGGGAGTATAGGAAGAAGGAATCTTTGGTAATCTCTCCACAGAGATTAGAAAGAAAAGAGAAAGAAGGTGCCCTCTTGCTCCAGGTGATTATTCCCTCTTTCTTTCACCAGGACTAGTGATGCGATGCAACTGGCAAGGGAATTTTGGGGTGTATCGATCCGTCGTCCAAGAAATCTAAAGCCAGGAAAGATGCCCCCTTGGATGCCTTGCCTTGCTTCGCGCTTTGCTTAGAGAGGGTTATGTGCTCTACTTGGTTTGTGGGGTCCTGTTTTATATTTGGTCTGCCACTCTCAGGAGAATTCCAAGCAAAGAAAGCGCATTGGGGATATCAACCCAGGGAGAGGCATCTTCCTCTTTTCTAAGCATTCTTTGCTCCACCACCTTTCCTGTTAGGGTAAATTCATCAAGTTACTAGTGCTTTTGCTTCTTCCAACATATGATCGATCTTGCATTCCATGGTTGCCAGCAAAGAATGAAGAACTTGATATATTTTTGCTCTAAGTCAAGAGGATTGATGGCGTTTTTGTATGGCAGTGGAAAATTGCGGAGCAACGTGACAAAGCCCTTGAGCGCGTCGTCTTGCGTTTGATTTTCGCGACTGATTGCATGGAATTCCTTTTTCCAACCCGTTGTTGTTGGCATCCATTATTTCTTTAGAATCTTTGATACCCCGCGCTTCTTGAATACGTGATTGCCTCTAAGCAGGAATCAAACGACAATGGGACAGTGTGCAGCCTTGTTTTGGGTGGCGGAATCTATTATTTGGATGCTTCTCCAATTTCCTCACAGGGGCATGCTGGCTGGAACATCGTTTGTCGTTGCTGCGCGATTGATCGATCACACCAACCAAAGACACACACCATAAACAATGGAGAAGCAACAGTAAGAAATCAAGATGATCAATCAAAACAAGGCTATCGCCATTTCTATAACACTGAGAATATATGGGAATCGGGATTACACTACTCATCTTTGGGGACATCAACAAAGCAATGCTTATCGATCAAACCAAAACAAACAAACAGAGAGAAACCAGCAAAACTCGCGTGGATTTTTTCTCGTTTTTTCCTGTTTGAACATTCAAAGGACGCGGTCAGGAGATGCTTCTCTCCCGTAGATTCTCCCCTTCTTCTTCTTCTTCTTCTTCTTCGTCTTCAGCTTCCTCCCATTGACTTCGCAATGGCGGCCATCCAACGCATGATCTACACCGGGAACTTTTGATACGTTTGCGTTTTTTCTTGGGTGCGCCACATAAATGGAGGGCATCTTTCTTGCCCTCCTCTCTTTCGAGTTTCTGGAGGATGTTTTGCCTGCCATGCTTTCCTTTTCCCTCTTGTGGAGAGATTGTTCATGATAGACAGCATTCTCTAGGACTCTTTTCTCTTTGGCGCGATAGATATAAATATATATGTGCCTGATTGATTGAAATTCACACCTTATAGTGAGTTTGATGATGCTCACCACTCCAGTGATGGCCAGCCAGCCCCACTTTATATTCCTCTTCAATAGCTTTCTCAGAGGAATCCCACGCAAACCAGCAGTTGTTTCTGTGGGGAACCTCTTCCACGATCGACGGGAATATAGATTTTACACAAGTCGTGCATAAGGTGGCAGGCAAACTTACCTTCAAAAAGTGTGGCTGGCTGCGAAGAACCCTAAAGTTCTTGCATCCTGTTACATGATGAGTGAGCTTTGGATTCTCTGGAGGAATAATATGGGAAGCTTCTCTTAACTGTTGTTGGTGCTATAGATTAACGAACTCATCCATCCAGAGCCCTGTTAAGCGATGTGTGTGGAGTGTAGTGCACGCGCTGTGCATGGATTTTGTGCGATTACACTTTTAGACAATGTCAACGTAAAGGCAGAGCGATCGATGATCCCCGTTAATAGTTTTAAAAATATTTGCAATCGTCTGGCAGATTCCATAGAGATCCTCCCATGTTTTGCTTCCAACCTTGACTCTCTCCGCGAAACCATATTAAAAGAAACAAGCTAATCGCATTGTGTCTATCATCCCCGAGAGGCGCATATTGTCGGGTCGCAAAGGAATCTTGGAAATCGTCCTCTGGGTTGCTTGTTCCGTCTGACCACGACTGAAACTTTTGGGGACGGAATATTTCCAGCGCTCCCTGGCAGTGACAAACGACCGCATTTGTCTCCACAAGAAAAATACTTAGTATTATTAAATACAAAATATGCAAAATTGCTTCCTTGTGAAAGAAAACAAGCACCAGACTATAATATTAATGTCTAGAGGAAAATCTTGCCATGGGCCTCCACTTGGTGATCAAAGGAAGGAACTGTGTTGAGGCACGTCCCCGAGACTTGGCGTTTGGGAAACATGCCAATCCAGCCTTCTACTTGCAAACAAAAAATTAAAGGCCGAGGTGGTTTGATCAATGTCAAGTCCGGGCCAGTCTCCTGCAATGCCAACAAAATTGGCAATACACATCAGAAGGTACACTGCGATATATGCCCACAGATGTTTCGTTCGTTGCCAGGCCATAGAGATCCCCCCGCTAGAGAGAAAGAAAACAATTATCCACCTTTTTGTTTGCTTTAATTCCTTTTCTCTTTCTTTTTTGTTTTTAATTTTAGTTTGAACTTTGTTTTTATCTCTATGCAATTTTGGCAAGCTTAAGTTATCTATCTTCAGACATATGGCTGTCGATAGAACAACAATGAAGCAGAAGGCCATGGCACCAATAAGCGCCACGTGGAAGAGTCTCCTTCTCCAATGCTGCCAGAATAAGGTTGAAAGTGAAGAGTCTCCTTCTCCAATGGTGCCAGAATAAGGATGGAAGTGGTAATTATAATGAGATAGTTCTTTGAAATGGGTCTTGATTCGGCTTTTGAACAGTTCTTCATACATTAAGTTCTAGCACTGCATAATAGGAGATAAGAATGTTTTTAATTTATTTAGATTAAAGATTTATAACATACAAAGAAATAATATTTAGATTTTTAATTTTTAATTTGAATTTCATGTCCTACATAACAATTTAATAAAAGTAATATGTAAATAAATTTTTGAGGTCCAAGCGTACAGCTATATATAATATTAGTAGGGATTTTAGTAGCCATTGAATTTTTTTAAAATCACTTTTATATATAAAATAGGGTTTTTGAGTTAATCTGGAGTAGTTTTGATTGTTACTAAGGACTGTTTGGATTTGTGATTTTGGTTTAAATTTAGCTTTTTGCATTATTTAGATATCTTTTAGCTTTTTCCATTTTTTCTCTTTTTTCTTTTCATTTATATTTGTAATTACTCAATGCTATGTGGTTGTAGCTAAATAATTATACTCAGTTGATGGTTGTAGCACATATGGTTTCCTAAGGTGATTTACCATAGGATAATAATGAAGCAAAACTTAACCCTCTATATACCACATTCCACATGCCATAGTGGTGCAAAACCCAAGTTTTAGGGCTTGGGGCCACTAAATGAAGGAATGGTGCCAAACTCCTAAGTATGGAGCTAAGGAGCAATAGCATTGGAGCATGGAACGACTTTCGAGTGTACAACCTAAAGAGCGAAGAGACAAAAGTGCATAGCAACTTAGAACAATCCTAGAGCATCTAACATCTCAATGCCAGGACCAACACACAAAATGGAGCCAAATAGAGTTTGGCACTATTTTAGCATACCGGTGGCCTAACACGAGGATATAGGTATTCCATCAGCTAATATGGTGTGGAGTTTGGGATTACACCCAAGCCAGACGTAGAACAAAAACAAGCACACAGGCAGGAGCTAGACTATACCTTAAATTGATCAACTATGCCTAACCTACTCACTACCCCTATTATATATTTGAAGCTCCCCACAACCCCTCCTCTCCCCTGCCCACCCCCCACCCCCTTGAAGAACACATGCTTTGGGGTTTCACCCTAAGCCTCCTTTAGTACTAAGAGTTAGTCTTTGGAACAAGTTTAAAACTTACTAAATATAGAATGTTCTTAGATTGCAAATTTAGACACGGGACAAACACCATTATGTTCAGAATAATCTCTACATTCCGTAGATATGCCAAATGAGAAAATCTAGACACTTTCCATATGAGACTAACACAAAGGGCATGATAGAGAGGGTGTTTGGCAAACACAGTAAGTTATTATCCAGTGATATTGAGGGAATAGTCTTAATACTTGAGGGTTCTTGCCAAGCCAGTGTAAGACAAAGCAAAAGAGAACTAAGAGCCAGACCAAGAATGCTCAGCTAGAAACACATAGGAGTTCCTACTTTATTGTTGCGAATGTGACTTTGAGTATCAAAAGATACTTGTCGGCCAGTCCTTATGGACACTCTTTCCTTACTACCACGACGGCAAGAGGTCGGTACTACTAGTTCCCTTTATGGTTTCCACCCAAGATAGTTGAGAAATTGGTCAGCACATGTGCACTTACATCGGAAGGGCATTAAGGAAGGAAATCCTAAGTTGTTATTAAGTCAAGCATACTTGACACGGTGACGAAAAATTCATGTTGTTAGTTTGCACTTGCTAGTGTTGGGAACCCCTGCAATGTTGAGACTAGTCCCTCAATATTCGCTAAATAATAGCTTACTATGTTTGCCAAACACCCTCGCTATCATGCCCTTTGGGTTAGTCTCATTTCGGGCTCAAGTGCTATTTATAGAAAGTGTCTAAATTTGCTTATTTCGCATATTTATGGAGTGTAGAGATTGTCTTGAACATAATGGTATTCGTCCCGTGTCCAAATTCGCAATGTAAAGACATTCCATATTTAGTAAGTTTTGAGCTTGTCCCAGTGACTAACTCTTGATACTAAGGGAGGCTTAGGGTAAAAGCCCAAAGCGTGTGTTCCTTGGGGGGGGGGCTATAGGGGGTTCCAAATGTATAGTAGAGATAGTGGTTAGAATGCATATTCGACCACTTGAGACATTAGTTTGGCTCCCGCTAAGCTGTGTTGCTTCTTGTTTTGCATTTGGCTTGGGTCTAAGCTCAAGCTCCACACTACTCTAGTCAGTGGGGTACTCTTCTCCTCGCGTTAGGCCACCGGTATGCCAAAATTGTGCCAAACACCATCTGACACCATTTTGCATGCAAGTGCTAGATACGGGGAGCTGGTGCTCATAGGATTGTACCAGACCCTCATTTTGTAGCGCAATGGGCTTGGAGTTTAGCTCCAAATTTAGATGTGCTACATTTGGTATTAGAAGAATTGTCTTAGTGATTCCTATCCAACTTTTGTCAGATTTTCTGACTCAAGTTGCATATGCAGAGACTTTTGTAGTAGATCCGAAGTGACCTATGTAGGATTAGTGAGATTGCACCATTCGGTAAGAACGTTGTATGCATATTCAGTTATTGATAGAAGCATGCATGTAGATAGTGGGATGGTGAAAAGGAACCGTGTTGATGATGCTGAAACCTCTAGACGAGCAAATCGAGAGGAGGAAACTCCGGCTAGATATGTTGCAGAAGAGGTAAA